GCAGAATGATTTCTGAAATAAGGATAGATAGGTGGCCTAACCTCTTCCTATGGTTAAAGAAACTGAAATACAAATTCTACATGCTCATCATGCTAGAACCGAATTCTCTGCTCCAAGCCCAGTACTTATTTTTACCAGGCCCCACTATCTACATACTCTTTCCTTTTCTTTTTGACCTATAGAATCTGTGAATAAAAAATGCCTGCTGGTGAAAAGAGTTTGATCTCTTCTTTGTATTAAAACTTAACATGCTACAAGTGGGCAGAATGGGTGTTCAAAGGTAATCTGTGGACTAGTTATTCTAAAAAAACTTTGTCTCTGTTATTTAGACTCAAATTTGGGATCTCTGTAGTCAAACAAGGTGAAAAGGGGGAATGGGAATGTTTTCAAAAACTACAAACTTCTAAAATCCAAGTGCTTTCTTACATATCAGTGAAATAGGACAATAATGATGAGAAATCAGAAGACAATGGATTAACAATGGACCATCATTAGAATGAGGGAAAAGATATGAAATGAATAGAGACCTCAAAGATCACCTAGCTCAAGCACTTAATTTTACAAGAAGTGTGATCCCATGAAGCCAAATAACTTTCCCATAGCTAATAACTGCAAAATAACTGCAAAAGGGGCTAAGATAAAAATATAAGAGCTTCTTAGAAGAGAAGAGACACACAAAGAGCTGGGAGAAACTACCTAGTTCAGTTAGGTCTCCTTTCTATCAGTTAAATTACCTCTTCATTATATATAATGACAAATTATTTTGCAAGAAGTTTAAATAAGCTCATATGTCTAGTTTTCTAAGCGGTAGCAGATCAAAAACTACCAACAAATCGTAGGGTTTGCAATTCCAGAGGCAGGCAACTTCAAGTTACAAGTGACAATTGACACTGAGGTAGAATATTGAACAACCTAAAAACCATACTTTGTAGAGCATCTCAACGTAGGAAACCATTCTGCTTAGTGGCAAGGAGTTTGTTCTACAATGGACCTGAGGGTATCACTGGATCATTTCACACGTCAACAAGCAGCACTCAAATATTTAAAATGAAATATTTCGTTTTTAAGAGAACACGTTCATCATCCAGGGCAATGCTGTCACCAGGATTTCTGCCATGACGAAAATGCTCTCTTCTGTGCTGTTCCATTCAAGGACCACAAGCCACATGTGGCCACTGAGCACCTGAAATGTTGCAACTGTCACTGAGGACCAAACTTTTAATTAATTTATATGAATTAACTTTCCCCCGATTATTTAAGAATCAAAACTAAATAGCCACACGTGTCTTTGTGGCTAGCAAATGGGACAGTACAGACCTAGAGAATTCAGTCAGAGGCAATCCCTCATCTCTACACGAAGCTGGACAAGTGCTGTGTGCCTAAGCATTCTCTATTATAAAATTTAGGAACTTTAAGACTCCTTAAATGCAAGGGAAAAAACTGTAATGAAAATTGAAATGATTTTCCTTTAGTAAAAGCATGCCCAATACATTTTCAAAATGTCCATTAAACTCAGTTTCAATTGGCTATAATTTAATAGCACATCTTGTAGTTCCAAATCAACACATACTTACACATTGTCTTCCAGGCAGATTTTGGGTCCCACCACATTGGCTGCTCCACTTGCCATTTTAAAAGCAAAATGCTTCTCAGGGCAAGCTTTTGAGATCCCACATTTATATCTGGGAGGCTTTGTAGCTTTGGGGGAGAAAATATGATTTTTTTTCTTTTAGAAAACAAGTTAAGAGACTCTATGTCAGTTTATTTCCTATCTCGAACCAGGAAAGGCATTATGTAAGACATCAAGATACACATATTTTAAAACATATGTTAGTGTGTTTTTTCCCTGAGAACTTCAAAGAATCTCAAAAAAATAAACAACAAAGTAAAACACAACAAAACCCAGAATCTCCTGGGAAACAAGCTAATAATTGACATAAATGGATCAAGTAATATGATCTTGATGAGGGTAAATACATTTTATCTAATTATTCTTGAGTTTATTTTTAAATTTCAGGATGTGAGAGGTTTTGAATTGTGACTTTGCATTTCCAGTCAATATATGAACAAAATCCCATTACTTCCAGGGTCATTAAAAAGCCTAATGTTTCACTATCTACCCATGTTCAAATTCTAACCAGGAATTCTCCTTTTACTACTCCTCCATCACTTTCTGTACTTACAATACGGAAGCTAAGAAACACTAATAAACAAAATATCCACTATGAATAAACACCAAGAATATTGAGTTGGCCAATCAAATAGCATCCTTGTAACTTTAACAGCAATTTTTAAATCAGTTTTTGCTCATACTGAACTGCTGGCATTGTTTAAACATAACCTCTCATATGCCTAAGACAAGACAGAATAAACCATGTGTAAAATATTGAGATGAGATACTCACAGCGTGCAGCTGTGTCCAATGCTGACCTTGCTAAGGAAAAGAAGTTACATTTGTTAGAAGGAATAAACCTATTGGCAAATATCTACTTTTTAAATATATTTAAAGCTTCTGATAGGTCTATAAAAATAAGTGCTTGAATATAATAATTTCTCAGTATATAATAAAGGAAACATGAATATCAGTTCAGAGAAAAAGTGAGAAAGTAACATCATGCTCCACAATTCATTATCAACATTTACGTAGAGAAATCCTAAAGGGCAGTATTTTATTACTGCTGTAACATTTTATTTTTACCTTTATATTTTGTTTTTATAGTTATTATAAATTTAAATATTAATCAGAAAGTTACTCTACAAACTTACCTTTAAATGACTACAAATACATATGTGGTGAATATTATGGTGCTTAAAAGTTGTTACTGTTGTATGGTGTTATGCATACATGCAAATAAAGCACCAGAGAATATATATAAAACTATCTTAATGGTTAGAGTAGAAAACTGGGGGGGGCAGGGAGAAGGTCATTACTAAAAGTTTTATAATTTATCAACTCAAGGAATCCAAAAGGTCACATCTTAACTTAAATGCAGTAGTTCTCAACCTGACCATCTATCACATTTACAGTTAGTGCTTTTTAAAAGCACTAATATCTGATCCCAGCCCACGAGATTATAACTCAGATCATCAAAGTATTGTGGACCGCCATTTCCTGATTTGGCTAATAGTATGCAGTGTGATAAATGTTAGCCAGCTGTCTGACTATAAATAGTCACACAGTTTTTAATTCTGTACTATTTTAGAAAATTACAAATTTCCTGTACATCCAATACTGAAACTGGGAAACAGAAAGTTACAGCTAAAAGATTGTATCTAAATGTTTAGAAGGAGGAAAATGACCAAGTAAATAAATGAAGGTTCATTAATTCAGTAGAACACTATACAGCATTAAAGTCAAAAAGGTAATGTAATAACATGGAATAATGCAGAAAACAAACTTTTTTTATTTTTTAAGAGACAAAGTCTTGCTCTGTCGCCCAGGCTGGAGTGCAGTGGTGCACTCATAGTTCGCTGCAGCCTCGAACTCCTGGGCTCAAGCGATCCTCCTACCCTGGCCTCCCAAGTAGCTGGGACTACAGCTACAGGCACCTGCCACCAAGCCTGGCTAATTTTTTTTTTTTAATTTTTTTGTACAGATGGGGTCTCACTTTGTTACTCAGGCTGGTCTTGAACTCCTAGCCTCAACTGATCCTCCCACTTCAGCCTCCAAATGTGCTGGGATTATAGGCACGAGCTATCACACCTGGTCAGAAAACAAATTTTACCTACTCTCAATTCAAAAAGGAACTTTACTGGGATACAACTTTGGGAAGACCAGTTTTTAAATCAACAGGTTTTTAAGTAAATAGTATCACCTCCATTTAATTTGTGTAAGAATAAGGGGAGAAGATGCTTTAAGGTAAAGAAATTCTTGTCAAAGACTTTTCTTCAGATGAAAGCTCATTTTTATCCAATCCTCATCAAAACAAACAGGAATGCAATTCTGAAAATGCTAGCACTTGGGAGCCAAACAGGTAAATTAATTATCATACATAGAACAGGGTGTTGTCCAAGTATAGAACGGGCACCAGATGCAAACACAAAAATCCCTCTTCTTCTCCAAGTTTTTCCCCCTCAAAATATCCTGAGACCTTTACTCCTCAATTTCTTTCAACACATAAATTTTACTTCAAGGAACAATAATAAACATTTCTGATTTGGTTTCATCAAGGAATTTCTTTCAATAAGTCAGGCTAATGAATCAGAACTATTTTGTACTTTAGTTTTTAATAAGGTTGCAAGTAATGTATGTCTATACTATTTATCAATGGTTTAAATCTGAAAAGGTCAAAATAAATGAACTCAATAGAACATTAAGTACTTACTGCAGCAATATATGCAAAAATAATTTGGACTGTGTTCAGTACATTCACTAGCTAAGTATTCATGCTGAAAATGAACACTACATTAAATCACAATCCTGAGTAAGATTGGTGTGTTATATCCATGTTGACATGCTGGTTGTGACACTGTATTATAGTTTTGTCAGATGTCACCAATGGGAGAAACTAAGTAAAGGGTGTGCAGTATCTCCCTGTATTATTTCTTACAAATGCATGTAAATCTGCAATGTCCTCAAAATAAAGTTTTATTAAAAATTATTTTAAAAAATCACAATGAATATACTTTGGTAACTTCAACTACTAATTATGGGCAAAATTTTCATTTTTCCTTTCTAGAAATAAGTTTGTTTTATTTTTCTAATACTATACTATATAATAAACCTGAATTGAAATGACTTATAAACTATCAAGTTATTATATCAACAAGTTGAAAAAATGGAAAACTCACCACCAAAAGAATTATATTTAATCTTATGGGTCCCTAAGGTACTGATTATAGCAACAATTCTAACGCTAGGTTAAACTTGTTACCCTTTGGTATATTAAGTTAGCTGCTAAACAAGTGGCAAAGATAACCATATGTCCATCTTTGTTAAAATAGTCCGAATGAGAATTAAAATAAAACCCCACAAATTAAACTCTCACCAATGCAACAGGTTAGAATCCAGTAAAGTTATATAGATACAATGTACTACTTCAATTACAACATCATAAAAAACCATCTGTTCTAAGAATGTCTAAATCAAATAGCTAACCTACACACAATAAAACCTGGCAGGTTCTTAACATGAGGAAATATCAATAAAAATTAGGACAGACAACTATCTTGGTTAAAGTAGCTCAGGGCTTGTTCATAGCTGACTACCAGTGATTTTCCAACTAATACAGCTTTAAATGAATCCCACTTTGGAAATACTCTTCCTTCCCACATAAAAATCCTAATCCTCAGTTACCTACATTTATTTTCAACTAGCATTTACTATCCACAGGGCCCAATGCTAGATGCTGGGTGAAGCATCAAGATATTATTGCCCTCAAGTTCATTCTCTGGTCAGGGGAGACAGACAAATGAAAAAGAAGAAACATTCTATAATGTAAGGCAGAATAAAATTAGTGTCAAATTGAGATATAAGTACTACGCAATTAAAACCGTTCAGAAAAAGAGCAATACGTTGTAACAGGGAAAGAAGGCAGTTCAAGCACAATTTCTCCAAAGAAGGGGCATTTATGCAGAGCTTTAAAAAATGAGAAAGATTAACAGATGCTGGGGAGACGGGAAAGACGTGCAGGGTGAGGAACCAGCACATACAAAGGCCAAGGTATGAAAGGACAGGACAGGGTTTGTGTCTGCAGGCTGTGTGCAACGGGTATGGCAAGCGTGATCCTGGGGGTAGGGAGGGGTGGAGAACAGCTGAGAAGGCAGGCTGGGGGCTTTGGGTGCCACCCTAACTAGAGAGTTTGGATTTTATTCTCCAGTAATTCGAAGTACTAAAGATTGTTGAGTTTTAAGAGAATGGCACTGGCAGTGGTGACAGGCAGATAGTAAAGATGAGAAGAAACAAAGGGACATCATTATGATGTTTATAAAACAGTCCAGACCAGACATGAAGATCCAAACTAGGACAAAGACGGAGGACAATGGGTGGGGACGGACATGAGCAGTATTGCTGCAGAATCACCAGTGGCATGTGTATAATGACCAGGCCACACTGGGCCTCACCCAGTCTCTTCTCCACTCTTCTTTCTGAAAACAGTGGGCCTTTTCCCAAAGCAATTTTCTATATGTACCAATGGTCCCATTGCCTCCCTTCTTTGAAGGATCCTCCTTTCCTTATCTGTTCAATCTCTTCTCGTTTATCATGCACTGAACTTTCACCCAAGACTAGGGAAACTCTCTCCATTACTTCAAAATAGAAAAATATGTACAATGTACTTGAGTTCAGCTACCATCTCATAATCTTCTTACCTAACCATCAACATTTCTTAGAAGAATCAGCTATATGTTGCTTATATTAGCTATATATAGCTATATATTAGCTACATATTGCTTCCAGATCAACACAGAATAAGTTCTCAATGCCTTCGATGTGGTTGGTTTCTGCCCCATCATTCAAATGAAGCCAGGCGTGCTCTCAAAGGCCACCAGCTTGGCCATTAGGGAATAACAGAAGAACACGCACCAGAACAAGTCAAGTCTCAGTATACTTTGCAATAACCATTTTATACTGGATCCTGGATACTTCTATTAAGATGGGTGCTGAACAACAGACAGGTTCAGAAGGAAAATAGCCACTATATCAAAAGGAATGGCTGAAAGAAGGATCCTATTACTTGAAAAGACAAAAACTTATAAAAAGAAGGTTTGCAGGACTACAACTGCAATTTTAACTATCTGAGAGATCAGTGATGGAGAGAGCTCCAACAAGGAGAAACAAAATCAGTGGACTGAAATTACTTGGGAGTACAACAGGCAGAATTCAATGCCATACAAGTTAAGTATCCCTTATCCAAAACACTTGGGATCATAAGTGTTCTGGATTATTTTTCCAGATTTTGGAATATTTGCATTATACCTTCCAGTTGAGCATCTCTAATCTGAAAACTGAAAATCCAAAACGTTCCAATGAGCATTTCCTTTGAGCATCATGTCAGTGCTCAAAGAGTTTTGGATTTTGGATTTTCTGATTAGGGATGCTCAACCTGTACAAGGAAGTACTTTTAAGTAGTCATTGTAAGAAAAGTCATCTGAAAATGTTTATACAGAAATTGAGGACTACATGGCCAAATTACCTAAAGCCTTGATACACAGTATGTAATCCATGGATAGGAATCTCAGCATCACTTGGGAGCTTGTTAGAAATGCATATTCTCAGGCCCCATCCCAGACACTGAATCAGAACCTGCATTTACCAAGATTCTCTGGAGATTCTTTTGCCATTAGAGTTTTAGAACCACTGGTATAAGGGAGTCTTGAGATCAGATGTGAGAGGGAGTGAATTAGGTCTTGGGAATCTCTTTCAAACATTAATTTATGGAAAGCAAAACTCACTATTCCAGAGATCTCAAAGTTCTTTTCATTCGACTTCTGCCTACTAGGTCAAAATACTGTTTCCAGGGTTCATAATCTCACTTTTCATGCTTAATTACTTAATACCTTAACCCTTTAGTCAAAGCTATTCAATCTAAGTACAGGATCTATGAAGAATATCAACAGCTTCTCTAACTTCAAATAATAAAGGCCTATGAAAACAGTCTCCAGAAGATATTCAGAATTACAGTCATGTGCCACCTAATGATGTTTCAGTCAGTGACAGACCACATATACAATGGTGGTCCCATAAATTATATTAATAATATCATACTTTTACTGTATCTTTTCTATGTTGAGATACACAAATAACTTACCATTAAGTTAAAACTGTCTACACTATTCAGCACAGTAACATGCTGTACAGGTTTGCAGCCTAGGAACAAGCTATACCAAATAGCCTAGGTGTGTAGTAGGCTATACCATCTAGATTTGTGTAAGTATACTCTACGATGTTTGCACAACAAGCAAAATTGCCTAATGATACATTTCTCTCAATGTATCCCCATCATTAAGCGATGCATGTATGCATGGCTGTAATTTTATATAGAGGCTTAGTTAAGTAATTACATCCCACTTTAATATGTAAACATTAAACTCTATTCTGTACTATCATAACTGTATACTTACAGAAGAGAAATGCATACTTGACAATTATTTGAGATTCAATGAGATATTCATATACAACCATCTAAAATGACATTATATATAATTGGCTCCTAAGAAAACATTTCAAATGATAATATTTTATTAACTTAAAAGATTCTGTTAAAAACTGGGTTGAGGAGCTTATGATGGTACATTTATAATACAGCAACACTAAATGAATGAATAAAAAGAAAAATGCCACGAAGGGAAAAGAAGGGTAGGAAAGCAAGATAGATTTCTATGGCTGGTATCTAAAATGCATTATTGCGACTCCTAATCACTTGGCAACTGAGGGCTAGATTTGTCTTCAAATTTTCTAGCAGCCAACTCAAATAGGAAAACAATTTAAGCTTGGAGGTGTTATATCTAAGATATAACATGCACTTAGAACATCATGATTAATTCCCCTAAGCATCTATAAAATAGACTCATTATATACATTCAAACTGTTGAACAGAAGATTCATGCTTTCTCCTGAATTCCAAGATCTCTTATTGTATATTTTAGAATATTCTAATAAATCACACTTAGTGATATAATTACATTTCCTTTTCTAGACAGGCTAATAACACAGCAACTTGGAGAACTGATAAAAATTTAGACAACCGCACCAAAAATAAGATTTAAGAAAGGGAAAAGAAGAAAACTTACCAAATAGATTTCCTAAACTTGCATCCATTTTAATTTCAAATACTTGAGAAATAACATAAAATGTTAGTAAAAATACTGCCACAGCTACCACCAACTTTGCAGCACCTAGGTAAAAGGCAGAAATAATTCAGCATGAGTTTATAAGCCCACATAACTTTTGTGATGCATTTCTATGAAAAATGCAAGTTTATAAAAAAAATTTTTTAAGATTAATAAATTTTTATTTTCATCTACTGGATTTTAATTTTACTTGAGTTACAACAAAAAACTATACAAACAATTCATCAAGGTAAGGAATTTTCCTGATCAAAGAAGTCTCAGATTGGCTATCTAGACACAAGACTGCTTGAGCCATCTGCCTAGTTTTATATGCAAAACAATTACCTTATCAGTTGCTAGCTAATTATACAAAAGTGCCATGGCTAATGGAACACTACCTCCAAGTTTGTTGCATGACATATTCCTAATCCTTTTCGAATATAAGAAGCAGTACTATACTGGGATGTTACAAAAACACTGGACCTTCTGGAGACAGTAAGGCAAGGATATCCACTAAGTGAGGAGTTCTCAAGTGACACATAACGGGTTTATTGTTCTATCACCAAGCAACATATCTCCTAGAGCTACGTAAGTCCTCTGGCATGGCAAACGACAAAGTCTTCCTCCTCTACTTAATACTGGTTTAAGACAGGCCTTCTACAGTACTGCAAGACATAATTTGGCATCTATCGCATATGCTTCATAATATGGTTAAATGGAAACTTCCATACCTTTGTATCTTTAATTATGTCTGAGCACCTTACAAATAGCACTGACTTTGCTGCTTAATGTGAATCATTTCTTGTCATTTTTCTCCATAGCTAAACAAATCTAGGGCAAACAAAAGTGCAAGATAGGAAAGGAAATGGAAAATGACTGGAAAGAAATACCTTCCTCTTACCCTTAGGATTTCAGAGACATCTCATTAGCTTATTCAGAAAAAATATTAATATTTGTACTATCTCCATTCCCCTTCCTTAATCTGTGGTTTAATCTGTGTTTATATAAAAGAGGTAGACAGGATCAACAGTCATCTCATTATCTTTAAGGAAAAAAAGGCCCAGAAATGAGGTAAAAAAGGGCCCAGATAAATTAATGGCAGTGCAACGAATGGAATACAGAGATCCTAACAAAGCCAGTGGTTTGTACAGTACTTCATTTTAAAACCAAATTACCATATTCTTCTGAAAAACTACCAAGCTCAACTTAGTGGGTAAAGAAGAGCAAAAAAGAAATTCTAATTTCATAAACCTAAAGAGATCAGACTGCATCCTTAGAGAACAGGACAGGAAATGAACTGATGATGCTCAGAAACACTGATGATGGTGAGAAGCAACAGCTTCTTAGAGCCTACTCATTTCTATTCAGAAACACTCTATTGATGGCTATGCTGGTGGGGAGAGGAGGTATGTGAAAAATCTGTGCCTTCCTCTCAATTTTGCTGTAAACCTAAAACTACTCTAAAAGAAAAAAAATAAATAAAGCCTTTAAAAAACAAAAAAAGAAATCCCACTCTGATAGACATGATATGGCAGTGAGGAAGTCTAACTGCTAATCAATCACTACCTCTCTCTTTCATTTCCTACCTCTCCCCACCAAAAACCGCAACTGCTTCCTGTTTTCAAGAACAACTACAAATTGCCTACATTTTTTATGCATAAATACGAGAGCAAAATTCTATTAGGCTTTGAACACTTTCCCTCCAAGATCTATCAGAGTATCTTGTACCTAGCAATATTCTCAACAACTGTTTGCTAGATAGATGAATGGTAACAGGTGGCATGTTTCTTCTCGATCATTTAAGACTAAGACCAAGGGCTTGAAGATTCTATGTCACATGATAGTCTTACTATCTTATTTTCTAGCAATCATAGGGACATGCAACCAGAGATAACCTTTCCCT